AAAAAAAAAAAAAAAAAAAAAAAAAAAAAAAGGGGATTTTTTTTTTCATAAATAAAAGAGGAAGAAAAAGAAGAGGGAGAAAAAAAAAAAAAGAAGCCCTGCCTGTGTGCCAGGCAGCTGGACTCCCTGGGGCTCCGGCACTGAGCGGAGTCCGCCAAGCTGCCTCCAGCAAGCCACACACGCACCCCGGCACGGTGCGCAGTGCCCCCCGCACACCCACCGCCCTTCCTGGAGCACTGTACCCTGGGTCAGGCCCCKCTCCCGACACAGCACCCTCCTGGGGGTCTGCAGAGCGCTTCGGGCAGGATTTGGGAGGAGGCCTGCAGCGGGAAGCCCCTGGTGTCCCCAGGGAGCTGCGTGGCTGGTGCGATGCACTATGCCATGGGATCCGGGTGGGCTCGGGCAGGTGGGGAGTGTCGGGCCAGCCCAGCCAAAGGGGGGCAGTTCTGTGCGAACAGGGGTCCCCACCATGACACCCCCATGAAGCCATGCCCTTGGGGACTCTGCCAGCTGCCACCACACAGCCCCACAGGGGACAGGCACACCCAGAGACACCGGATGGATGGCCGGGAACCCTTTGGGGCACCCCGGAGAGGGATGCTGAGCTGCAAGGGGGGCAATCGCGCACCCCAGCCGGGTGGTCTGGCTGGCATCTCCTGCAGTGCAGAGCACCCACGCTGCCAGCCCATCCCTGAGCAGCACAAGGGCAGCAGCACTGTCACCAGCAGCAGGGCAAGACCCCGGGTGTGGCGGCACTGCCGTTCCCCGGGGCTGTGTATTTTACTCCTTGCCTTTGGGGTCAGTAAATGTTTCAATTTGCTCCTCTGCCCCTGAGCACACCCAGCTCTGCTCCATTGTACTGGTATTCGGTCCCTTTTCAGGCTGCCTTCCCCTTCTCCMACCCATTCCCAGGCTCTGCCCTTCCCACCAGCGCCAGGCCGGGACAGCCTGCACCCCCAATTCCTCCACCAGCCAAAACTCCAGTTGGTTGCAGTTAAATAACCCCCCTCCATCCAAACCTCCCCCCTCTCCCCGGCAGCTTTAGGAAATAATTCTGGCAAATCCCACTATTGCATTTGGATGGAGCGGCGTACGCGTCAGAGACAGGGAGCGAGATGGCAAACAAAGGAAAAGAGGGAGAGGAGGGGAGCGCAGCGAGCGCAGGGCGAGGAGAGGGGAAAGGGCCGGCGGTGAGTGGGGGGCACCCAGACCCGGCTGGGAAAGGCAAATTCCAATGAAGCAAAAAGGGAAACGGGCCACTGGAGTGCACCTTGGCCAGGAAATCTCCATTTCCAGGGTCATCTGCACTCCGGGGAAACTGAGAACTCCAAGGGAGCGCGGCCACATTCCTGCCCTCCAGCCCCCAGGCTGTCTAGGCTTGGAGGGGTTTTTTAGCAATTAAAGTTTGGCCATTGCTCGTGCTGCCGCAGGAAGATGAAAATCCCGCTCGGCTTTATCCCCCCTTCCCCGGGCTGGTCAACCCAGCGCCGCCGAGCCCAAGCAATTAAGGAAAGGTTTTCTCGTCTGGAACAGGGGCTCCTTTAGGGGATCGGACCCCCAAAAAGGGCTGCAGGGATGCCCCGGGAGTACCCCGGGGGGACTCAGGGGTAGGGCTGCCCGCATGCCTGCTCCCCGCGGCCTCGGGAGAGAGCAGGAAACATTTTGGGAGGGAAAAGCGATAGAGGCAGGATAGGCAGTGGGAGGGGAGCCTGGCCCACCTCCGGCCACAGCGTGCGATGCCATCAGTGGGAAGAGGGGAAAAATAGGGGAAAAAATAACATAACGTAATAGAATAACGCTAAATGTCCACCGCGGCCCCGCGCACCCGGGAAATAACTTTGCACAACTTTGCGCTCTGGCACGCCTGGCCTGTCCCCAGGGAGCGCCGGCTGTCCCCTGCGCCCCCCKCCCGGGCGTTTTCCGCGCACCCCCAGCCCGCCACGGCGCGGGGTTCTGCGGGGGTCCCACCGGGGCTCGGCGTCCCACCGGGGCGGGCTCCGGCAGCCTGCTCGAGGGCGCCAGGCGTTCGCCGGTGCGTGTGTGCCCCTCCGGCACCCCCTCCCCGGGCACCCGCTCGCCGCCGAGCCCTGCCGACACCCTCATGCCCCGGGAGCTCCCTGCCAGCTCCCGTCCCCTGCGACAGTACCCCCGCCCCGAGCGGGACCGGGCGCGCCTGCCCAGCCGCGGCTCCCGACAGCAGGGGGGACCGGCAGGGTCCCCCCATCTCGGTACTACCCCGCTGCGAGGCGGGGAGCGGGGGTCTCCAAAGCACCCGGTGCCGCCGCCAGCTCGGGGCTGGGGTCCCGGCACAGCGCCGCCGGCACCAGCCCCGGCCCTACCTGCCCGCTTCACCGGCAACTTGCGGCGGGGGGGACCCACACGCGCGAGTTCCGAACGGCGGAAAGTTTTCCCGGGGCGCCCCCCGCGCCGGGCACCCGCTCCGCCGCCGCTCTTACCTCCGCGGGGGTCCCGGCGGGGCCGGGCGCTGAGGAGGGC